ATGTTTTTGTTAAAGTATGGTAAAACTTCATTAAAAAGAATGTCGAAATTACAACCAAAAGCCACAAACATAAATTTAAAGTATACAAAAATCGTTCAGCTTATAATGTAGAAAAGTGCACGAGCCTAAAAACGTCTTGTTCTACGATCTGCAGTCTCTTCGTCGTATGTAACAAATTACACGTTATCAGAGAACCTGAGGCATGTGATTACAGTTCAAGAGACTGCGACTGAAATCCAAACAGAAAGAGAAAATACGTATGGCTAAAAATGTTAACCCTGCTCTTTAATGATCATCATCACCATCATCAGCCGTTTTGAGTCCACTGCTGGAAATAGGCCTCCCGTAAATAATTCCAATGCATTCCATCTTGAGCACCCTGAAACCAGTTGTGCTGAATGCGCTTGATGTTATCTAACCACCTTGTTGGAGGACGTCCTCAATTACGATAAGCATCGTGTCTAGGTCTCCATTCCAGAATTTTGTTCGTCCACCTTCCATCTTTTAATCTGGCAACATGCTCTGCCCAGTTCCATTTCAATGTTGTAATCCCTTGAACTGCGTCACTAACACCAGTTTTTCTCCTAACTATAGTATTTGATACTCTGTCTCTGAGGGATATATTCAGCATTGACCTCTCCATCGCTCTCTGGGTCACTTGTATTTTATTGAATAATTTTCTGGTAACTACTAATCTTGCAGGGAAAAGTAGAAGGAAAGGTGAAGGAAAGGTCCAGGAAGGTAAAGGATTTCCTGGCTGAAAAATCTACGAACGTGGTTCAACACAACAACCACAAATATTTTTAGAGTAGCAGTGTGCAAAGTGCAGATTGCCATGATGGTCGCCAACATCCGAAACGGATAGGCACTACAAGAAGAAGAAGACTTTTCTGGTAAGAGTGTTTTGCTCCATACGTCAGAACTAGTAGTACACATTGATTAAAGACCTTCCTTTTCAAGTACATAGGAAAGTCTGATCTAAAGACTTCTCTTAGTGAAATCGTAGGCTTCCACGGCCAGAGTCAGAATTATAGTTTATTCGTCTTCCGGGTTTGGACCGTGTCATTTATGAGTGACCCAAAAGTAGGTTCATCTCTGAGATATGAGATGAACCCACTTTTGGGTCACTCACAAATGACACGGTCCAAACCCGGAAGACGAATAAACTATAAGACTTCTCTTAGTTTCCATAAGCCGCCCATGCCAGTCTTATCCTACTGTTTAGCTCCGTTGTTTGATTATCTCTTCCTAATTTAATCTCGTGGCCCAGATATTTATACACCTGTTCAATTTGCGTGCCGTTAGTTGAGATGTTTTTCGCCAGTACAAGGTTGGTCATATATGGTGTTTTGGAAAAATTAATTTTAAGTCCAACTTGTGTACACGAGCTCTGAAGGTCTTAAAGAAGCTGGCAGGCATGATCTACTTGGTTTGCACTAAGGACTATGTCGTCTGCAAATCTCAAGTTATTCAGAAACTCTCCATTTATGTTGACTCCAATATTCTGCCAATTATTGTTTCTCATAGCACTCTGCAACAAAGCGGTGAATAGCTTAGGAGAGATGTTGTCTCCTTGCCTAATACCCCTCTCGAAGGGAAATGTATTTGTGTTGCCATAATACAATTTAACCTCAGCTGTTGCACTATTATATATATTGCGAAAAAGAGTTGTGTACCTATGATCAATACTGCACTCTGTAAGAGCTCTTAACATGAAGCTATGCTGGACTGAGTCAAACGCTTTCTCAAAGTCTACAAATATTAATATTAATGGCTTGTTGTATTCTGTAACTTTCTCTATTAAGTATTTTATTACTTGTAGGTGATTATTCGTTCCAAAACCACTCCAAAATCCGGCCTGCTGTAATGGTTGGTGAAAATCCAGGTTAGGTTCCAGTCTGTTAGTAATTATTCTCATAAAGAGCTTATATAAATTAGATAACAAGCTGATAGCTCTGTAGTTTTCAATTTCTGTTACATCTCCATTTGTGCAATATTATCATAATGGTACTATTCCATTTTTCTGGTGTAACTCCTTCAAAGAGGCAAGCATTATAAAGGTTTTTTAAAACTTTTATGACGCATTCGCCTTCTAATTTTAGCATTTCACTTACAATGCCATCTTCTCCAAGTGATTTGCTGTTCTTCATACCTTTCAACGCTAATTCGATTTCCTTTTCGGTTATATCTGGAAGTTCCACTGATCCTTGATTTTGTATGGCTGGGATTTCCACCTCTGGAATGTGAGCATCCCGACGATATAATGTTCTATAGTACTCTTCGATAATTTTCCTAATTTCTTGTTGCTTATATACAGCATGTCCATTTTTTAGCTTATAAATGTTTCTGTTTTCTGTCTTCAACTTAAGTTTTTGAACTTTAAGGCCTTTATTTTGTTCTATGGTATTAGTTGTTTCTTTAGTGTTAAAATCCCTAATGTCTTTCCTAATAGCTTTTGAAATGGTTTTATTTAAATTCTTTAGTTCTGCGATGTTCACTATGTGCTTATCTTTCATTTCCCTTCTTTTTTGCATTAGGTTCCTTGTGCCTTCTGTGAGTTTTTCATTTTCCTTGTTTGTTTAATTTGACAGTTTTTCTGTGCTTTCCGTACAGCGTCCACCAACCTTTAATGATACCAATCTTCAAACACTTAAAATAGTTGGCAAAAAGGTATGAAATAAAAATGTTCATCATCACACAGCCAAATTTGTCCACTGTCGAACATAGGCATCCTCAAGATGTCTCCACTCTTCTCTGTCCTGTGCAGCTGCGATCCAGTTTGTCATTATTCTTTTAATGTCGTCCGTCCATCTGGTAGGTGGTCTTCCACGATTTCGCTTGTCTGCCCTTGGCCGCCATTTTAAAATCTTCTTTCTCCATCTGTTGTCTCTCTGTTTTGCGACGTGTCCTGACCATTTCCACTTCAACTTCGTAATCCGTTTTATGACGTCTTCCACTCCAGTTCTTCGCCGTATCTCATCATTTCGTATTCGGTCTCTCAAAGTTACGCCAAGCATAGATCTTTCCATTTTTCGTTGTGCTGCTTGTAACTTTTTTATTGATGCTTTAGTCAATGTCAGTGTTTCAGCTCCATAAGTGAGCACCGGAAGTACGCACTGGTTAAATGCTTTTCTCTTTAGCTTTATTGGGATGTTTTCCTTAAACACGTCTTTTAGCTTGCCATAGGCTGCCCATCCTAAAGCTATTCTTCTAGATAATTCGCATGTTTGGTTGTCTGTACTTATTTGTATTTCGTGGCCCAGATATATGTATTTGTCAACCGTTTCAATATGCCAGTTTTCTAGTTTCAATGGTCCACTAGGTACTAAGTTGGTCATTATTTTAGTTTTCGCAAAGTTTATTTCCAGCCCTACTTTTTGGGAGACTCGTTGTAAATCTTGTAGCATTTCGTTGGCCTCCTTTAAGTCGTCGGTTATTAGTCATCTGCAAATCGTAGGTGGTTTAGCCTTTCGCCACCGACACTCAAACCTCTGTTTTCCCATTCTAACATCTGGAATGCATGCTGCATTACGGCATTGAATAGTTTTGGTGACATGTTGTCTCCTTGTTTAACTCCCCTTTTTAGTTTTATTTTTTGAGTAGGGGTGTGGAGGTATGTTGAATAATGCTGGTATATCGGTAGTCGATTCTACAATCTCTCAAAGCTCTTAAGATAGCTCCCATCTCGATAGTGTCAAAGGCTTTTTTATAGTCAACAAATACTAGAACTAGTGGCCGGTTGTACTCTATAGTTTTTTCAATAAAAATGTTAATTAAATAAAAATGCCTTTTTGATTAAACATTCTCTCAGGTCAGAAGACGGTTAAATAGTAAAAATAGTAGAATAATATATTCATCATCATTATCAATCAGCCAATCGCGTCCACTGCTGGACATAGGCCTCCCTCAGTTTTTTCCAGTGTTCTCTACACTGGGCCGCTTGTAGCCAGTTTCCCGTTACACGTTTTATATCATCGGTCCATCTAGTCGGTGGTCATCCTCGACTTCTTTTATAGTTTCTGGGCCTCCATTCCATAATACGTCTTGTCCACCGTCCATCTTGTGCTCTGGCTAAGTGCCCTGCCCAGTTCCACTTAAGCGACGTGGTTCTTTCAATGACGTCTTGAACTCCTGATATTTACCTAATAATGTTAGAATAATATATTAGAATAATAAAATTAGATTTTTAAAAGTGAAACTGGAACAAACCATGAAGTGGAGATATCCAGGAGTGGCTAGTATACCTGTTGAATGTTTTTTAACAACTTTTTATGTAAGTAGTAAAAAACCAACTTTTTCTTTTTGTATGTTCAAATTTTAACTTTCTTGTTTTTAATATTGGTATTTTTACTCTCTCTTTTCGTAAACTGATGATGGAATGATACAATTCCGAAAAGATCTTCTTTATAATAAAAAATTTTAAGCTTTTAATAAGCGCTTTTTTTATACCTCAATACACACGAACACCACGTGCTTTGAATAAAATTAGACTAAGTTTTTCTGAAATTTTAAATTGTTCATATGTTTTGATATTTTAAGTTTTTTGTAGTATAGTTGTTGTAGTATAGTTGTATAGTATAGTTGTATATAAACCTTATAATAGGTTTATCCTGTAAAAAATACTTATAAACAGTGACTACTTTTTAGTTAGAAAAAAAAATATGAACATTTAAGTATTAAATACACAAGCACCCTACAGGAAATATAAATATGGTTTTAATATACTTTGGTACTGAGGTTTTTCAAGTTATCATCGTCTTAAGATAAATAAAGATATGTCGTACAGCCTCTACTCAGAATATTTTTAAGTAGTACATGTTTTTCATACATTCATTTCAGGATATGTTAAAATTACCTTTCAACAAAAGAAACCTGAATATAATACAAAAATAAATAATAAAATTCTTCTAAACATTTTCCCTAGCGTTGGTTTTATATTTACAGCAACGACAGAATATATATCTGGTGAAGCTCTCCCTCTCTTGGACGTTCACCTGTTGTCAAATTAGGGTCTGGTCCTTTTCGTTAACGACTAACACTTCATCATTTTTTATTTCTTGTAATTTGGTTATACATTTGTTCACAACATTGTTGTCTGTGGGAGACTCTTTACGTAGCGACAGCTCACTTTTTACGGTACCTAATTTTGGACTAGCGCAGTTGCTTTGAACCTGAAAAATAAAAAAAAACTGCATTAGATTATAACTTAGACACTTACAGTTCACAAAAATAGATGAAAGTCTGAAAATAACCACGCCCATGATACGGATTCGTCATTCGACGGATTTCACATTGAGCGTCCTCTTATTACCTATCTGCTGTTTGTGATGTAAACAAGTCGGTACAGTCTGCGAAATATTTTTTGTAAGAACAAACCGCAAAGGAGAGTCATTTTCAAATTTGCAAATCTGTGTTGTGTACCTATATTAAACATGGAGTTTAAATCGAATCTGAAGGGAAAAGTTTTAAATACTCAGACACGGGAAGTGATAGCAAATGTGATTAATTTTATGAAAAAGAAAATAAACCGTGTAAAAATTTGAAAAAAGTGCAGAAGCGTGTGGTGTTAGCAAAAGGTGTTAGTTTAAGCAGCGTTCAAAAAATTGCTCGGGAGATGCAATTAATTAAAGACGGCGAATGTTCCTCATTTGTAACTCGGAAAAAGACGCTTCAAAAACGTGTTTGACTGATTTTGATATAGGGCGTTTTCGACGTTATATAATGAATTTTTGTATAACACAAATACAAGTGCAAACTGTGAAACGGATATACAGAAGATTTCCAGATGAGTATAAATACTCAGATTCCATAAAAAGCCTACGAACAGTAATTAGAAAGATTGGATTTTGTTTCCAGAAAAACCAGAACTAATAAAAAATTATTAATGAAAAAGAGCAATATTCAACATCTTAGACTGAATTTGTTATGAAATCGTTAAGATGCCTCGGAACTGGACTGAATAAAACGCTGACGACAAATACTATGGAAATGAATACGATACAGGTTATATTATAAATATCTCATTTTTTACCATTCTATTTTCGTATTTTTGAATATGTACTGTATGTATGTACAGCGTTAACAGGCGTTTTAGGTCCATTGCTGGATGGATAATTTCCATCGTGTTCTATTTTTAGCTAACAGCTTCCAATCTCTGATTCCCATCTCTCTGACATCGTTCGTCCCTACATCTCTCTATTTCTTTCTTGGTCTTTCTCTCTTTTTTTTGCCCTCAGGTACTCTCCAAGCAATATTCTTGACTAGTCTATTACCTTGCATTCTTTCTACATGACCGAGCCGTTCTAGTCTACGTTTTTTTGCCACTTTTGTTATTGGAGGGTTAGCATACAAATGGTACACTTCTGCATTAGTTCATCTTCTCTATTCTCCCTCTACTACTTTTCCACCAAATATTCTGCGAAATATCTTTCTTTCTCATGCTTCCAATGTGTTCCGTATGGTCTCCATCCTCTACCTCCAGTTTAAAGGATCCCCTGATGTTTGTACACTTTTTTGTTTGAGATCTCCATGTACTTTGATTGATTAAAAATAACTGACAGTCCCATTTTAGAGCTTTCCCGAATCAGTCTTCTTGCTATATTTGATAGTTCTTTTCCATTTGTTGCAATGACAACCAAATCATCAGCGTATGCTAAGCATTGGTGCTCCTTGTATAAAATAGTTCCAGACCTATTTATCCCACTAACTCTTACAATTTTTTCTAGAACTATATTGAATAGCAATGTAGACAACGGGTCTCCTCGACGAACAACTTTTTTCACTTCAAATTCTTCTGAGACTGTACCATTTTTTTTGGAATTGTATTAAAAATGCTATCGTAACCACAACCAAGTCTCTGATCGCTTCCAAAAAGTATAAAAAGAAGAATTGGATGACTGACGAAATATTATCAATGATGGACGACCGCTGATAATTTAAAAACAAAGACCGAACCAAACATCAGAAGATCAACCGACAAATACAAAAAGAGTAACGCAAAGCTAAAGAATAGTGGCTGCTAGACAGGTGTGCAGAAATGGAGGAATTTGAAGAAAAACATGACCACTTTAATATACATAAACTTATTAAAGAAGTGACAGGTCTTACAAAACCTTACAGTTTTAACAGTATTGTGAAGGACAATAAATTAATTACTGATCCCAAATATCTACTTCAGCATTGACTAAACTACACACAGCAACTATACGCAGACACAACTAGAAGAAACTCTGAAAGTGAGTATAAAAGTTAACCCTCCCCTAAAATATTGAAGTCAGAAGTTGTAAGGGCAATCAAACAGAGCAAATGGGGAAAACACTAGGCCCAGACGACATATACATAGAGATTCTAACAATGTTGAGTGAAGACAATTTAGACACCTTGGTAGATCTTGTTAATGACATTTATGGGCCCAGTCAAACACCACAGGACCTACTTCAATAAACCTTTATACCAATCCCAAAAAAACCAAACGCTAATAGCTGCGACCAATTCCGAATGATAAGCTTATTGAGTCAGGTCCTAAAACACTTCTTAAAGATAATTCACACAAGAATATACAACAGATGTGAAAGAGACATTAGCCCCACACAGTTCGGTTTCAGACAAGGATTTGGCACAAGAGAAACACTTTGTAGCTTAACTGTCCTCCTTTAGAAATGCAGAGATCAGCAAAAAGATGTCTTCCTATGCTTTATAGATTACCAGAAAGCACTCGATTGTGTTAATCATTCAGAATTAATAAGATTGCTCCAAAAACATTCGATAGATGAGAATGACCTTAAAATCATAAAAAACCTTTATATAAATCAAGTGGCAGCTGTGAGAGTAGGACTGGAATCTACATCTGTCACCCCTCCTTTTAATCTTTACTCTAAAACTATTTTCGATAGAGCCTTAAGTGACACTGAAGATGGAATTAAAATCAATGGCCAGACTATTAGTAATCTTCGCTATGCTGATGATACAGTCATAATAGCTGATAGCCAAGAAGCGCTACAACGACTAATAGATAGAATAAATACTGAAGGAGAACGAGTGGGCTTAAAGATTAATATAGACAAGACGAAGATAATGGTGGTTAGTACAACACGAAATATGCAATTGAATATAAGAGTAAACAACAAGAACATCCAAAAGGTCCCAAGTTCAGATTTCGCGGTAGTTGGATAACTGAACATCTAGATCCAGACATAGAGATACATAGAAGGATTGAGCAAGCCAGAACAGCATTTACTAATATGAGAACCTTGCTAAGCAACAGCAGCCTCAACTTAATGCTTTGATATCGCTTTTTAAAATGTTACATTTACTCCATACTGCTATATGGTGTAGAAACCTGGACCATAAAGGCCAATGTGATGAACCGATTAGAGGCCTAAGAAATGTGGGTATTTAGAAGACTACTTAAAATTCACTGCATAGATCACACAACAAATGTCGAAGTATTAAATAGAATGGGCAGAGAACGAGAATTGCTGCCAATAATAAAAAGAAGAAAAACTGCTTTTCTGGGTCATATATTGCAAAATTCCAAGTACCAGTTCTTAAAGCTTATTATGGAAGGAAAGATAGAAGGAAAACGAGGCATCGGAATAAAAAATACTCATTGCTTAAAAACATAAGAGATTGGACAAATCTCGATGCCCATGCACTTTTTAGAGCCACACAAGATCGAGAGGAATATCTCAGAATTGTCGCCAACATCCACTAATTGGATAGGGCACCATAAGAAGAAGATTATTTTTTCTGGCACTTGGTATTGTTTTAGTGTTTCTATTAACTTATTTCTGTCACATCCTTCGTCATTTGTTAGTAGGGACCACTGGTATATGAAAGTATTTACTACTTTAAAGCCCCCAATCTCTTTAATGTGTTAAAGATTATTTGGAGCTCTGTCCACTATCATGATCTTTGTCTTACTCCTATTTAGCTTTAGTCCATATGTTTTGCTTTTTTTCTCCAAACATCTCATATGTCTTCCATTTCTTCTTGATTTGCCGCAATTATTAAAGTGTCATCAGCATATCTCAAGTTATTGATTTTTTGACCTCCTACTGATATTACGTCCTTCCATTCGTCTAGTACCTTTCGTATAATGTGTTTGTCACATGTGTCACATCTGCCTGACAGCTGTGTCTGTTCTGAAATGATCGAAATGGGTGTTGTTTATTTTTTCTGTGCACTTATTATTTTCATATAGAGTTCTAATTAGTTGAATTAAATGGTGAGGTGTTCCCATTTTCGCTAGTATGGACCATAGTTGCTGCCATTTGACTTTATCGAAGACCTTTGTGTAATCCATAAAGCACATAAGCATAGGAGTATTGAATTCACGAGTTTTTTTGATTAGCTGTCTGACATTAAGGATGAGTTCTCTTGTGCCTTTTCCTGGGACAAATCCCGCTTGTTCTTCTGATATCTGAGGTAATAAAAAAGCTTTTAATCTTTCACATATTACATGCAGTAGAACCTGGCTTGCATGGTTTCCCAATTCGTTTTGCAAATCATATGCATAACATTTACTTCAACATCTCCAGTCTCTTTTTAAACTTTCTGCGGTGATTTCGTCTGCGCCAGGAGATTTTCTATTTTTCAACTTATTGATTGCTTTTTCTACCTGTGACTTTAAAATGTTTGATTCTCTCTCTGCAGTGAAACTTATCGTGATTTGCATTCTGGGGATCATCTGCATATAGATTTTGACAATATTTTCTCCATACTTCCGCAATCCCTTTCTCGTCATTTATAATATGTTGGTTTTGATTCATTATTGTTTGTGTGATTGGTTTAAATTCCCTGGATAGATATCGGACTTTGTTATATAGCTCATGGGATTCATACCGGTTTGCATGTCTCTCTAGTTTTTCGCATTCTTCATTTATATATTTATTTTTATCATCCCTGCATGCTCTTTTAATTTCTCTATTTATGCTTGCTAATTCGTTTTTGTTGTTGTCGTTTTGATATATGAGAGATTTTATTCTCCTTCGCTCTTCGAGAAGTTGCAGCGTTCTGTCTGTCATCCAGTGTTTTCTGTATGATCTTTTTTTCGGTTCTGCTTCTTTCTACAGAGGTTTCTATGGCATTTCTAAAACCTTTTAACATGTCTTTTGGGTTGTCTTGTGTGTTCAACATACTAGTTTGCTTTAATGCATCTCTAAATGTTTTCGGATTTGAAATATCCAGCCTATTTTGATTTTGGTGCCGCATTGTTCTTTTTGTTTCATCTTGAAGCAAGCCCATAACAATTTATGATCGGATCCACATTCACCTCTTGGTCTAGATTATACGTTTGTAAAACATGTCTTCCATCTGTTTCTAATCAATATGTAGTCGATTTGGTTCTTGTATTCTCCATTTGAGCTGATCCACGTCGCTAAACGACGGGCATAATATTTGAATATTGTGTTTACAATGGCCAAACTGTTTTTGGTTGCAAAATCTATTAAACATTCGCCTCGGCTGTTTCTAACACCTAACCCATAGTTTCTTACATTTTGGATGTTATCATTTCTTGTTTCTCCTACCGTAGCGTTGAGATCGCTCATGATTATGAGTGGTTCTTTAGATGGAATATTTCTTATTGTGTCTTTAATAATGGAGTATACGTCTTCCACTTGTGTGGGTTACATTGACTAAATATTTTTGTTAATTTTGTGTGTTACGGTGACTCAATTTGGATAAAAACACTGTTTCACCTTCAACAAAAAGAAAAAAAAACCGGAACGCCGTTCCGGTACTGGTTAAGACACGGATTATAGAAAACGCTCTCTATATTTCGATACAGTACAACTGCCTTCGAGATTACATCGAGGCCAATTCACCTTTAAGAGTACCAAAAGATCTCATCCCGTTGTTGAACTGGGGTTTAGTTCAACAACGTATTTCGAATTTATATAGAATGTAAACGAGGTTTTAGTCTCATATACCAGATAATAACTGACTTGCGAATTAGACTCTTAACCAGTCATGTTTGAAGCCCTATGTTTATAAAACAACATGGACCATGTATAAACGAGTGGAATGTGCAACCTTATGTGAACACCTCGTTGAGGAGACACCGCACAGCAGACGACACTAGGACACGCTCGGCAAAACCTTCTCCAGAAGAAGAAAATCCATTTTTTCAGTTTTTGTAAATTGATTAACTTTTTAAACCCAATTTCTTAAAGTTAAAGAAAATTAACATGTTCTTCTTTTTCTTTTTTCAGTGCCCTGTCCGATTATCGAAAGTTGGCGATGATATTTGCAATATTATTTTTATTTACAGGATGTTCTTCTTCGGCCTGGGCCTCTCCTTCCGGCTATCTTACCGTGTATTATAAGGTGTAGAACGTTATACCTCTCTGAATGTCTTATTACATGACTGAAATATTGAAAATTTTGATGTTTTATCATTTTTGTTATTTCTGTGCTCTTTTTCATTCGATGTAAAACGATTTACGAAACGATTCACTCGTTTATATTTCTTATTCAGTCAATCTAACATATCAGCAATACTCGTCGATAAATCCATATCTCAAAGACCTCCAAGTTTTTCATTAATGTCTCTGTAATATGTAGATTATGTAGCAGCGTATTAATCTGATTTTAAGGTTTAACGTAATATCTCTATTAATTAGAATTTTCTTTATATACCAGTTATCGTTAACGTTTGCGCCCAAATAGGTAATATTGTGGACTCGTTCTAACTCTATTCCATACGCTCTGATGTTCGTTGGTTGTAACTCCGTTTTCTTCATTAGAGGCAATAAGTACCGTGTCGTCTGCATATCTGAGACTGTTGACATTAATTTTGTTAATTTTAATACATGTTACTAAGGCTGCCTTGAAAATAAATTCGGAGTAGATTAGTATGTTCAGATATTGTAATTTTGTTTGAATGTGAAACACTTTCCTTTATTTGTTAAACACCACCTTTCGTTTATATGTTATATTGCAATGTAAATAATAAAACTGGCTTCTTATAATTGTGTGGTTTAATTTTACAATAAATGGTTACGTTTATGTCTCCAAAACATTTAAATTATACTATGTTGTCTTCTTTTTTCACAATTAAAATACAATAAAAAAACAACAATTCCATAATTTAAATCTTTTTAAACTAAGCAAATGCATATACATTTTAAAATATGCAGACGTAACTTTTAGAAGTAATATTTTACTTGTAAAAAAGGTAAGGAAAGTGTGTTTCGGCACCGCTAATTTTAACATGACACCACTGTATATAATCCCCTATAATAGTAACATTATTAAAATATTGTTTAAACTTACCTGTGAAGTAGAAGGAAGAGACTGATTGTCCAAATCAAGTTCGTCAACTGCTGCGTCCGATGCCCAATTCTTCTCTTTTCCTACAAATAATTTCCATGTTTTCTTACTACGCCCTTTTATTTTTGGCAGGGTACTGGCTTTCTTAGCATCATCCAGTTTGCAACATGCAATATCATGTTTTTTCTTGCCTAACAAAAAAGTCCCATAGAGTCTTTATCAACCTTGGTGCATTTCAAACGACAAGAGGAGTTTATAAAACACGTTGTAGTTTTAGAACATGTATACATTGGAATTATTTTTTAATTGTAGATAGAAAATATTGTTTTCTCACAATAAATAACCAGGAATACATTTCTACTTTTTACTACTACGTATTTAATTGATATCTACTTCCGAAATGGTTTTTTTTTTCGAATCTACTAATGCATTTTAAATATTCTAAGCCCAGTATATAATTTATCCTCCTCCTTCTTTTTTGAGCTCTTTCAAGACGTGGTGACACTCTAAATATTATTGGCTTGCTGCCTCCATTGGCTGCGATCCTTTGCCATATAAACGGCTTCATGTATGGATTTTCCCACCAGAGTCTTCATTAGTCTGCCTATTGTATTTGAGATGTTCCTCTTGATCTTGGGCCTTCTACTACCAACAGTCCCATGGTCTCCGCTCTTTTAGCTATGTGGCCGAAGTAAATTAGATATGGGTTTACTTTTTTTAATAGACTATATTTTATACGAAGCTGTTCAAGAATTGACAGGTTGGTTCTATGTTATGTCCAGGACATGCGTAGAATTCTTCTATAGATACACATTTCGAAGGCTTCGATCTAATTTCTATCGATTTTTTGAGAGTCCATATTTCAGTTGCGTATGTATCAATGGAAAAAATAAAGGCATTGACCAACCTAAGCTTAGTATTTTTCGTTATTGTTCGGTCTTTCCATATTTTATTCAGTTTAGCTGTTGCTACGCTTTATTTCTGAGGAGCAATCGCCGTTATTGGTTATTAGACAGTTAACAAGTAAACAAATCTGTCTACCACTTGGTGTAGGTGCGGTAGATTATTAATTGCTCTGTCTACGATCATTATTGTTGTTTTTTCGTTGTTGATCTGAAGTCCGAATTCTTCGCTTATCCGGCTTAGCCGTTTAGTGATGGTAATGATTTCCACTTTATCCGCTGCTAGTATAAATGTATGATATGCGTATCGTAGGTTGCTGATCTTTTTGCTTACTGTAGTGATTTCCCCATCCCATCCATCTAGTACTTTTCCTATTATATATTCAAAATATATGTTGTACAATATTGGTATTAGTATGCAAACTTATCTAAATCCTTTCTCTGTTTTGAACGCATCTGAATATATTTCGTGTATTTTAACTTTGGCTGAGCTTTTATGATTTCTTATTAGGTTAACTAGGTAGTTAGGTACGCCCATATTTTCCATTATATTTCAGTGGGGATCCCATTTTACTAAATCAAAAGCCTTTGCGTAATCTTCGAAACAGAGCAGCATTGGTATGATGTATTATCTGTCTGGTGTTCAGTATCTGTAAACTGCATTGTTCTTCGGCTATCTCTGGATAGCCGAAGACCAGGGATCTTCGATCCCTGGAGACTTTTTGTTTCTTAGTTGGTTGAGAGTTTTTTCTATCTCTGCTTATAAGATTATTGGTTCTGTCTCTATGATTGCATGTTTCTTGTGTTCTGAGTCTGATGCATCTTTTGAAGTGTCTTTGTACAGTTCTGAGCAGGAGTTTTTCACTGTCACTACCGTGCAGTGATTAGTGAACAGTGTAGTAGTGTTTGGGGGCTCGGGAGACTGAGACCTCGGAAGCCCTGAGGAAGGATCAGAGAGGATGCCGAAAGCTCGGCAAAATGGATATCGACGCGGTCCAACCCGGAAGACTGGTGAGTTTGATATTAATTTTAGTAATAATATTAATCTTTGCTCTAGGTTTCATTGTACTAACCGCGGAAATATTTCCGAACATTATATATATATATATATATATATATATATATATATATATATATATAGCAAATAGACGTTAGAATATTTTAATGCTTTATTTTATTACAAAAATGCTGATATTTTATTCAAAACTTGAGATTAAAAAACAGCTCCAATGCATTGTTCATACTAAATTCCACTGAGATTAAACGTAAAGTTATCATATGTACATAATTTTGGTCAATCTATGAATTACTTCTTTAAAGTCAATTATTTAATAATTGTAATGATCAGGAGAGTCAGTTTTGTTAGATCTCTAGTAAAAAATTAAACGAACAATACTGAGTTCTATTAATTTTTCTTATTGGAAAACAAGACAGAATTAACTCCAAATATAACAGTTGGTTTACCAACATCGATTTACGGGAATTACGCACGTTAAATAATCTAATTCGAAAATCAATACATAATTACAAAATCAAAGTAATATTTATTATCAAAATCGAATCTTTTCCCATATGAGTTACCGCATATAGGCATATGCGGTAACTCATCAGTGCATGTACTAAAACATGCATGTGCATGTTTTTTTTTGTTTTTGCATGTGCAAAAACTATTTAAAAAGTTAAACAAAAAATTACACGATTACAGTCAATTATACTGTGATTGAATCAAATACTTTTTTTCGTCAAGCTGCGGTCCTAATGGAAAAACCAAATTCAAAGCGCGGACTATAATGGTGCTAAACATGTTTAACAATTGAAAAGTTAAGCACGTTTCAGAATAATTTCCATTTAAAATTTTTAGGTTCATAACGCGGAATTACGTTTCTAAACGCAGCGTATAAAATATTCTTCACTACACTATGTTACCGTATGCCACCATACGCATAACGAATAATAGGAAAATATCATGCTGGTTTCATATTTGATAAGTCAACAATGCATTAGATTGCAACCATGAGACAAATTTTTGAAAAAAAAGCACTGAAATATGGCATGGATACTCGACGCATATTCATAGACCATAAGGCCGCCCAAGACTTTGTAACGAGAAAAATATTCAGAGCGTTGATAGAGCTAGGAATACCAAATCAGTTGGTAAATTTACCAAAACTAACTCTTAAAAACGTTAAGTGTAGAATACCCATCCAGGGATAACTGTCTAAACAATTAATAGAGGTAACGGGCTATGGAAGGTGCGCTAGGGAGATCCTCTATCCTGTATACTGTTCAATATGGCTTTGGAAAAAGTAATACGTATGTCATCAATCACAATATAATTTCAATATATATCACATTAGTCTAAATCCTTGCCTATTTCGATGACATCAATATTGATGGAAGACCGGAAAAGCTGTACGGTTATCAAAAGGAAGTCATCAAAACAGTTAACACAAAACAAGAAAATATGGGAGTACGTGCTTTGCAGAGGAAGGCGATGAATAGGAACGACCAAATACTAAAGCCGTCACAGAAATAATTTAAGCACGTGACTTGAAAATATTATTTTGACAACAGATGCTCAAATATAAAGTGCAATTAATCATCATAACATTTTTACGAATTTTTTCACATTTATTGAGAATAATTCACTGACACGTTTCTTTAATACCTGTGGCTTGATTTTAACAATTCAAAATAAATAGGTGACTACCAAAAAGCGGATTTAGACCAGTAAGGTCGACCATAGACCAGATACTCGTCCTACGCCAGGTGTTGGAAAAGAACTGGGAATTCAACCGCGATGTACACCAAATCTTCGTGGACTTTAAACAAGCTTATGATTCTGATATCAGATAAGCATTGTGGGAGACGATGCTAGAAATGGGAGTACCTGGAAATCTGGTATGATTAGCGCAGGTGAGCACATAAAACGCTTCCGCACAGATCAGAATTGGCAGCACCACTTCCAAGAAATTTTTTTACGAAGAACCCAAGGACAAGGGTTCGACAGAACGCAACAATCAATGAATAAAACTTTGAAGTGGTCAAAGAATTCAAGTACCTGGGAGCGATCATATCATAATGAACGTACTTAAATCAAAACTGCTCTGAATACCAGCAAAAAAGGGTGTATAAGACAATAATTCGTCCCACAATAACGTATGGAAGCGAGACATGAAAACATAGTACGCTACATTAAAGAAAATCGAATTAGATGGGCAGGCCACCTACTAAGATCGATTGACGAAAGACTCCTGAACGCCACATTCTAGGAAAGGTCCGATGGCAGAAAGCCAGTTGGTCGCCCAAGAAAGAGATGGAAGGACGCAGTAGCCAGTGATCTACGCAAAATGGGAATACAGCAATGGAAAATAGCTGCTCAGGACCGACAAAATAAATAATATAATATCGCTAATTGGTGATTACTACCATACTCCAGTAGTAATGGGCGATTTTAATGCCAAAATTGGACATGGATGTGTGGACGGTTATGTGGGTGACTATGGATTAGGAGAACGAAACGAACGAGGAGACCGTATAGTACAATTTTGTCAAGCGGAGGAGTTAGTAGTTGCTAACACTCTTTTCAAGTTACCTAACAGACGACTGTACACATGGAAATCTCCAAGTGACACCAAAGGTAGAGTAGTCAGAAACCAAATTGACTTTGTCCTTGTTAGTCAAAGATTCCGCAACTCTATACTCTTAGCTAAAACCTACCCAGGAGCAGATATAGGCTCGGATCACAATCCTATAGTAGTCACATTAAGAATAAAACTAAAGAGCATTAAAAAACACATACAGGAACAAATTGACGTGAAAAGACTAAATGAACAACATATAAAAGAGAAAACAATAGTGAACATCAAAGAAAATTTACAAAATATAGAGAAACTGAATAGAAATACTGATAAGATAGACCAAAAATGGGAGAATATTAAACATGCCGTAATGTTGGCAGGGAGAGAAAATTTAACACCGAAAGGAAGGAAACATAAAGAATGGATGAATGAGGAAATACTACAGTTGATGCGTAAAAGAAGGGTACACAAAACAAATAATCCGATAAGATACAAAGAAACAGATAAACTGATAAAAAAGAAAATAAGAGAAGCTAGAGAAAGATGGCTAAGTGAGCAATGCCAGGAGTTGGCACAATTGGTGCGAAAATATGACTTTTTTAATGTACACAAAAAGATTAAAGAAATGACAGGAAGGATAAGAACAACACGGACAGGACAGATCAAAGATACAAATGGTATAATTATAACAGATTTACAACAAAAAAT